CATAGTAGAGGGGTGTTCTTGCTTTACTTGTATCTTAAGTTGTGGACTGTCCAAGGCATGTACAAAATGATCCTTCAGCAACAACTTGAGGACATCAGGTGGTGCAGTTGGGTAGGCCTTGTGTGCCATACTTTCTAAATCATGTGCTGGCTCTTGCAGGCTCTCCCCTTTAGCATGGCCTCTCGTACTAACCTAGCCCTGTAGACCGCACATTGATTTTGGGTTCCATACCTGAGTTCTAGAGCAGCTACCAGTGCTGTATAGTTGTGCCTGTCATCTGCTGACAACTGTCGAAGTATTTTCAGGCTCACGTCGCGGTACACTGCTTTCTGCTCCATCCATTCATTTCCGCCTGTAGCTCATATTGTGCTCTATATGTTTCCAATAGTGCCTTCCCATCGCATTCCTGTGGCTTCCTTTGTACTAGATCACCCCTATTGCTGATACTCGTGTCTGGAATGTGACTACTAGTAGGACTGAAGATGTCTGCATTAGAGTTTAGCTGCGGGGTCTGGAAGGGGCTTCCTGTTGTCTGGGGCTGATTAGGTCCATGGTTAATATATCCTCTCTGTGTAAAGGACAGTAAATCGTACTTTAGTGTATTTAATTCACTTTGAAATTTACTAGTCTTTTCCATCTGTGTATGCTGGCTTTCTCTTAATTGTTGGAGACTTTCTTCTTGTTTATTTTCTTTCTCCTCTAACCATTACTGTAGTCTCTTTCTTTTCTATTTTCTTTCTTCTTGTTTATTTTCTTTCTCCTCCAACCATTACTGTAGTCTCTCTTCTTTTCTATTGTTACGTCTCTGTTTGCTAATTGATTTCCCGTAAATTCGTTCCGACGAAACTTTAGCGACACAAGTCCTTACTTAATAAAACTGGTTCATTCTTTCCGAATACAACTTTACGATACACTTAATTTCAATATTCGCGCTAAAACAAACACTATAACGAACGAACGTTAACTTCAACAATACCCTGTGACTGCAGTTCAATTACTTACTATCTACACACACATTATTGTCCCGTCACGTTGTCACCCTCTTTTATATACCAAACTACCCTATATCTAGTAAATACTACAGCATTCGCCAAGGTACAGGATAGTTCTAGAAAATAGGAGGCGCCACACCAGTAACGTGACCTAGATGACGCAACACCATCTTTTTTTTTCTTTTTCTTTTTTCTGTCCCACTCTCTGACACCAGTTTGTTATTTATCTGCTTGTTTGATAATTTCCCGTACAAATTCTTTCTGAGAAACTTCAGCGATATAAGTCCTTTCTTAATTAAAACTAGTTTATTCTCTCTCGTTACAAACTTTGTAATACACTTAATTTTCACAGACACTTTAAACTTAACTACTTTTACAAACACACGCTAGAATTCACAGAGATTCACTCATTTTATTTACGGTGCCTACTGCTCGCTTGACTCGATTATTTCTCTTCCATCTATCTCCGGCTTATATATTAAAAAAGAGGGTCTCTAGCAAATGCTGGGACCTTCGTGAGGTTGCCCGCTAAGTCACGATCCTTCTAGAAACTCCAGCGCGCATGCTCCCAGTGTCGCGTGACTTCCGCTATCGTAACAGTATTCCAGTACTTATAAAAACTAGTAGCAAGTAGCTCACATATACAATCGTTAATCCTCTTCAGAAACCTTGGGGAAATATTATTTGGCCCAGGAGCCTTATCGTTTTTTAAACTTCTCAATTTTTTCTTAACAAGTTCAGAATTATTGTAGTCATTTTGTTCAATCTTGTTTCCGTCTAGCAACTAGTCAAAATGTGGAATATTGCTTAAATATTCATTGGTAAAAAGTGAGGGAAAAGCATAATTTAATAATTCACATTTAAGTAAAATGGGTGCTTTTTGAAACCAATTTCACTATCTCCAAAAAAAAAAAAAAATGCTTAATTTTTCGGAAACTTTTTCTAGATGGCGTTCTAAATCAAGATGGCGGGAGCTAGGCTCATTTCATACTTAAGTGGGTACATTTTACGTTATTTTTTATTTAAATCGTCAATAAGTGAAAATATCGAAAAGAGAGTTGAAGTTTCAACACCTGTGTCATCTTGGAAAAGAGGTAAATGTTAACCAAATCATGTTTAAGGAACATTTTGTAGTGTAGCGTAACATTGTACAGTCTTAGTCTAATATTATTATTATTAGTAGTAATAGTAAATACTATTACTAATATATTCCTACTAGTAGTATAGTAAACGCTGACATTACACTTCAGTAACAGTAACAACAGAAATTTCGTTCATGCTGGGTTTACATAGCTTGTGTGCGTCATAATTCACAGACTGCTAGATATAACACTAACGTGTGTAGCATATATTTGTAATATTTTGCACTGATAAAATTAAAAGTGAAATATCAGAATCCAACTTTTATTCAGTTTTAGTTTTAAAGTTACTGGTATATCGTCCTGTTTGGCATAGGTGCCTGACCCATAGGACAAAGGGAGTGGACACCCCCACATACACACACACACACACACTTTTTTCACTCACTATTATGCATAATATACAACTTCTCAATGTTCTCTCAATCTATAGGAGGACCACTGACCTTTTAAGCTGCATTCACCTTTTACATACTACCACGAAAAAAAAAAAAGTTAAAATATCAATTATGACATGCATGTTTCTAAGATTAAGAGATTTTAGAATGTCATCCTTCAAACTTAGATGAATAAATTTAAAATATTTATTCAATCTTTAAATGGCTACAATATCCTGTGGGTTTTATCAAAAATGCCCATCAAAAGGCAAAAAAGATGTATTTCAGGAACAATTCGCTCTTCCTGTTATTTAAAAAACAATATTCTACTGTACCTCATATTAAGTATATAAGTATTGCTATGCTCAGTCATTTTCATTTCTTCATCACTTTTAAACTAAGTTAGGCAATCATGCTGTTTGGTAGTAATACAGGATAAACAAAGCTTTTAAATCTTTATACTTGAACAAGATAATTAAAAATTGTGAATTTAAAAAGGGAATAGAGATCGTCAAAAAAACTAAAGAAACAAGTTGAATCAAGATGCAAAGATTATATTTTCAAGCCTACTACTACTAGAGACTCTAAAAAAAGTAAACATACTAGGCTGGAAATAGTGTCTATGTCATTTTCTCAAACTACAAGTCCCCATTTTGACACCACTAAAATTGATAAGTGTTGTAGACATTATTTGCACCCTAGTTTTTTTTTTAAAAAGTCCCTACTTGTAGGCTTAAAAATATAATATTTGGCTTTTGATTCAACTTGTTTCTGTATGATCTCTATTCCCCTTTTTAAACTAACAATTTTTAATCATCTTGTTTCTTAAATATTTTTATGTCCATTTATGGAGAAAAAATTTTACTCTACATACGTGCATATGCATTCAGTTGAATGTTACATGTTTTTCAACAGTTTACTCCTGCATTGGCTTTTTTTCCACCCAACCATTATTTACTGAGCCAGGTGGTTTTGTGCCTGAGATTTCATGTAAAAACAAGTTTAATAAGCATTGAGTACAACAGAAGCTATTCACAACATCATCGCATATGTTATATACTTATAGCCACGTAAATCAATTTTCAGGGAATATTAATCAAATTGTGAAATGAGTCATGGACATTTGCAGCATTTCATATAGTATATCTGTCTAGTTTTTGGTGCAAAATACCCAGCCAATGTTGCTGTAAGCTTGTGAAACAAAAATATCAATAATAATAATAATAAAATACACAATGTCAGCAAAGTATGAAAATCAGTAGAATAAATCACCACTCTCAAGAGTAGAGAAATCTGCTATGGTAATCATTTGCTGTTACAAAACTCATTGAAATAGTCACAGAAAACCACCTAAAGACAATGTACAACAGATAACTCGAGAAATAATGAGTTCTCAACATGAAAATTGACAATTAATATGCTTTATGCTGTGAATTGCACAAATTGTTTTCCAATTAATCAGCATTAGTAAAACACCAGATTTTTTTCAATGGTGGAAAAGGAAGGGCTTGTGAAACTCTTCAGGGTGAAGAAACAAATGTGCTGGAATTAATTTCAAAACTATCCTATGGCATACTCAGTACTGCATTCATTACTGCTGTCCATGTTTCAGTAAAACATTTGTAGCCATTTTTTCTGTAGTAACTTGTAAAATTATAATCAATAATAATAAGGCTGGAGAATGTTATAAATTTACACATTGTTTATGCAAATAAAATGAGGTATTTCCAACTAGTATAATAGTGCTTAAATGGTTTCTACATTTCTGTGATGTTTGAATGGCTTTGAAGAACTTATGTTGGTAACAAAGAAGAACTTGAAAAATTTTAGAGAGTGAAAACCTTGACATTCAAGAATCAACTTAAAAATAGCCCTTCAACCTTCGCAGGGGTTTGTTTAGTAACTGTACACAAATTTTGGTACAGTATACTTAGCCATATTTGCTGTAGGCATTAGTGCTTGAATGACTTTGAAGAACTTATGTTGGTAACAAAATTTTAGAGAGTGAAAACCTCAACATTCGAGAATCAACTTAAAAATAACCCTTCAACCTTCACAGGGGTTTGTTTAGAAACTGTACACAGATTTTGGTGTAGTATACTTAGCCATATTTGTGTAGGCATCAGTGCTTGAATGACTTTGAAGAGAAACTTGGTCAGTAGCAATGAAAAAACTGATAAAATCTCATCTTCTCTTTCAAGAATCAACATAGAAATAGTCCTAAACTGCACAGGTGTTTTTTTTTAGTAGGTTTGAATAAAATATTCAAAGCTGTTTTTTCTGTAGGCTTGTGAACCAAGAATAATATGAAGAACAAATGGATGAATTTTGTCTAACAATTAGAAAATCAACTGTTTTGCTGTTATCAATATTTTAGCAGCCTGAACCATTGAGATAGGTCTTGAGTGTTGTTTCAAGAATAAGTCCACTTTTTAAGATGTTTTTTTTTCCCATATGTTCTATTAGATTTTTTGTGAAATTTCTGGGGGATCCCTATTATGAACCACTATAGTAGTTTATGATACTGCATCTTGTGAGATCAATTTTAAATGTTAACTGATTTTTTTACAAATCCTAAAAATTCAACTTAAAATATTAAGTCTAGCTCTGTTCGTCTCTAGCCTAGTAGCAGTGTTATTTCTATGTGGAAATTTGTCATATTATTCACATGTTTTGTTCTTACATTTGTTTGTTTTAACTTTTCAATTGTTGAAAGCTGTTTGCCTTGGAGATTTTTGATCAGTTAGTGTTACTTCTCTAGACTACAGTGAAATGCAAATGAAAAATTTTAGAAAATCTGATAAAATAAGCTTTGCAAAACCATTTAGAAAACTACATAAAAATTAACCAACATGGATTGAGTAAAGAGAATTTTTGCCTTACTAATCTGTTTACTTTTTTTGAGGATGTTACTTGGATGATGGAAAGGGTGTGGAATTGGTTTATTCAGATTTTAAAAAGCTTTTGATAAAATTCCATGATCATGATTAGATAAGAAAAGCACATTGTTGGGAGTTAGGGAAAGACTAGTTTATTGTATTATTGTGTAACTGTGAGAGATAGCAGGAAGTTATTTGTGGAGTCTTGTCAGACAGGATAGTGTGCTTTAGGGTTCAGTGATATTGATAGAGGCATAATAAACAAATTAGTGAAGTTTACTGATAAAATTAAAGTAAGGTTTCTTTTCCCCCAAAGGTGAAATTGAAAAGAGAACCTGTGATGTAGCAGCCTAATGCATTATTTAATTGTCCGTACCCTCTGCTGTAGACTGCAACTTTGCCAATTCAAGGCTTATCAGTAAAGCTTGGGTCTGCAAACCAAAGAAATACAACTAGGCCTCTTATAATGGTGGAGTTTATATTGATGTTGATTTACTTAAAATGACTTCGATCAATCAATAAAATGACAAATAATTGACAAATGACATTTGATTACATTAATGCACTTGGTTATAATTTGGATTAAATTTTCAATGTAGAACATGTAATATTTGTGGGATCTATAGTCTACAACTGGTTTTAGACTTTTTCATCTAAATCTAAAGGTAAAAACACTAATTGCCAAACATACATACATTGACTGCAAAGGATTCTTCCTAAACATTTGTCTGATTTTTACTCTTTATTTTATTAGTCTTTCATTCTCCACTTAATTGCCCTTTGTCAATGTGCCCTCTATCTTGGTACTGTATATAAGCAACTTCTGATAATATTATCACTTTTTCTCGACAAAGCATTCATTAACAGGTTTTCTCTGTACTATGACCATTGGAGATACCTTGAGTGTTCTTCGTGTTACCTAGGTGATTTTCGTAAAAAAAGAATTCATTTGGCACGTTAATATAGAGGTAAACACAACAATTTGTGGTTATATTGAACATAAATGTTATTTGTGTAAATATGGCCTCTGCTACACAGTCAACTAGTTTTCCATTCATTTTTCAAAACTTACTAGCAAGTTAGACAATGCATGCAATTCAAGATATGAAGAAAAGTCAGTTTTGACATGACAGATCCTTATTCCATCTTATCAGCAGTGACAGTTGCACTAGGTGCCAGTAAATTAGTCGACATTACAAAAGGGGGACCCAATTTAGGCCTATAAACTGATGTTAAAGTCTCACAGGTTGAGAATATAGATATATAGATTGCTCTAGACTCCAACTGTGTTGATCTCAAAAAAGCTGAAAAAAGTTTTCTGGTAATTAATAACTCGGTCACATAAAACCACTGATATCTAGATCCATGCTTTCTTATACAATATTAAAAAAATATTATTAATTTGTGAAAAAATGGAGGTCTGGACCCCTTTCCTGAGATCTGTGCCTATTTGTACAACATTGAGTTATTAATTTCTGAAAAAAATAGGTGGAGGGGGTTTGGTCTTTCTAGATCCATACCTGCTTATACAACACAAAAGAATGTCATTGTTTCTTTAAGGTATAGGGAATGGCCAGACTAACCTAGATTGGCACTTGCTTACACTACATTAATTGATACCTTTACTCAATTATAATTTAGAAACATAATATAATGTAAAGAAAGATGGTGAATCTATATTTTCTTTAACACTTAAGTA